GCTGAGCTGATCAATCCGAGCGGACAGGTTGCTGCCATTTTGCTTTTGAAATTAAATAAATTCATACAAAAGTTCATCGCCTTGGAGCTTTACCCAGCTCATAACCGGTAAAATTCATTTGCTAGGACCCATGCGTAAAATGGATGTAAACTTTCTGCATTTCTCGAATTTGCGGATTACACCATCTTTAGTTGAATGACCATTGCTGTCATAGCTCTTGCTATTAAATCTGGGAAAATTCTGTGTCCCCTCAAACTGAAACCAGGTAACTAACCAGGATGGCGTAATAAGGCTATTTTTTATTCCCTGGCTAGTAAGGTTTGTTTATACCAGTTTTGGGAGTCCACTGTATTGATCCACGGCCCTTACTGCCTTGTTTATTCGCATCATTCAAGTGGGCTGTCGTCAAAATCAGCACTTCTGTGATTTGTTGATGTTTCAACAAAAATTTAGTGCGCCTTGTCTAAAATGTGACGGGGCCGAATTTTTTGTTTGTCTTTATTCTCAAGTAAACATCGAATGAAAAAAAACTGTCGGAGCCTTCCCAATGGATAACGGCTGTTGGCGAAGGGTCCTCGTTCAGATTGTTTCCAATTCCCAGCAGTAACACAGAAGGTGAATTATAGAGAAGATTTTGGTTCTGACTTGATTAATGATTTTTTTCTCTTTTTTTTGAGGCCAGTGTATTTGACTTTTGAAGGTGTGTTTGTATGTAAGGTTCAAACTTTCGAAGTACAACTCTCCCTCAATTCATTGATCACGGGGTCAAAGGCTTTTTCCTCCAGGCAAGGACAGCGATTATTGCAGGTAGGATCAAATGATAATCGTGACAGTGCGCGCATCGAAGTGGAGTTTGAAGATTACGGAAGTATCGTGGAATTCCCATCATCAGAGGCAGTCAGCGAATATGTTAAAAAGCTGAATTCTCATGACTCAGGAGTCCCCATTCCCTGCTCATCATTTCCAGTATGTTTAGCACATTCATGTTCCGCATGTGATTGCATGTTTGGTGCCGTCCTTTTTGTACTGCCTTTTATTAATTTACTTTTCGTCGTATTACTTTAGTTAAGCCATGTATTTATTAATGTGTATGTGTATACATATATGTATATGTACTTAAACATATATACATGCATGTGATATATATGTATATATACATATATATATATGTATATATATACATGTACATATATGTATATATACATATAACTAGTTGTTTACCACACACACACGCACACACATATATACACACACATACACACGCACACATACACATGCACACATACACATGCACACATACAGGGTACGCCACTAGCCTACAATATTAACTTTTAGAGTCTCAATAGCGAATAGGCGCAGGTCCTGCACCATTTTTACATATATGTTGTTTCTTTGATGTTTTAATCAACTGTCATCTCATTGTATCACATGCTATCCCACCAGCATAGCTGGCAAACTACCCGTAATTGCTATTGCCGAATTTAGCATCACCTCTGTTCGCTTTTTTTGCGTTTTGTGCTGTGTAACAGCGTTACAAAACGCATATTGTCACGGGTTTGTCTGTGTGTGTGTTTGTGTGTGTCCCACATTTTGTCTCGCACTTTCATCTCGGGAACCACAAAAGCTAGGCGGCTGAAATTTTGGTATAGTGTTCCCCGCCAGCGGGTGACGCGGCAAATTTAAATTCAGCTTCCCCGTGCCCGCGGGTAACAAGTATGGCCCCGTGAAAGTTTTTTACGGGTAAATTAATATCTCGGGAACCACGGAGACTAGGAGGCTGAAATTTTAGGGTAATGACCCCTTGCCCACGCTCAACCTTGCTCATTTAAACTCGGCTTTTTGGCGCTTTCGGTCTACGGGCTAGCGAAAATTTTGGCGGGTAAACTATTAACTCGGGAATCACGGAAAGATGTTCACTTTCCAAGGTTTCGGATTCAGCTTTCATGCGTTGGTGTGTGAAATTTCTAACTATTTTCCAATGTTTGAACTATTTTTGCGTAGACAAAAGTACAAAGCAGTGAAAATCATTAATAGGCAATCATTGGATGGGCTGAATTGCACAAAACGTATGATCGCACCGGCTAGTCTGATGCGCGTTGCTATTTATTTTCCGTCCTTTCAGGAACATATGCTAATTGCACATATTTATTTTCTTTTAACATAAAATTTTTGCAGCCAGGCTGTGGGTTTGAACAGTTTGTGGTTTCATTTGCTTCTCAGAACGCCGAAATGATAACAGACAGCCAGATTGAACGACTCTGGGAAGCAAGGTAATTTGTGCTGTTTTAGATTTACTGCTTGGTTACCAACACTTGATAACTGTGTCTTAGCGTGTGTGCTTTAGAGAGTTAATAGCGCGATACGGACCAAATTTGCTTCCACTTATTGCGCGCTCCGTGCTCATCTGGAACAGGAGAGACGAGTTGTCACGTATGCGCGAGCTTCTCACACGTTGGGGTAGAATTAAGCCGGAGACTGCGCTGCAGCTGCTCGATTTCAAATATGCTGATGGAAAGGTGCGAGAATTTGCAGTGGCTTGCTTAGATGAATCGCTTGACAACGACAGACTGCATCTTTATGTGATGCCTTTGGTCCAGGTGATTACCTTTCATGGAAATATGTATAGTTTATTCTACCTCTGACAGCAGCTTACATTATGGTTGAGTCAGTGCCCAGATTTACAGTCAGCTTGATCGTGAATTCTATGTAAAAGATGCTTATGGGCAACTGTAAGTAGCTGATGCTGCTAGACTTGGGTCGGTAGTTCGAGTGCTTTGGTTGAAAAGTCGTTTTCCCTGTATGATGCTTTAATCCACTGGCGCTGACAAGTGCCAGAACGCCAGAACCCACTTCTGTTTATCAGTAATTATTGAAAGAACGTTCTTTCCAGAGCTCTGTTAACACTGATTGTTTTTGACAAAGTGTTACTATTTCTGAGTGCTTCCCCTTCACACAGCGAAAATTTCAAGAGACCTGTTTTCTGTACTTTTGGGTTAGGTGCTTCTGGCTTGTTTCAACATAATGGCGCATTTCAGGTGTTGAAATATGAACCATTTGGTTCCTGTGCTTTGGCCAGAATGCTTTTA